ATCTAAAGATGCTTGGGAATATAAATCCTAGCAGAGACAGGATCAAGGCAAGATCTAGAGAGCTGCGAGCCAGGATGCACCCTGAAATGTCTAAGAGTTTAGAAAGGGAAACCGGAGTGGCAAGGTTTCTGAAAGAAGGGGGGTCCCGGTGGCTTGCCAGGCTTAAACCTGCGGTTTGTTCCTCGTAGTGCACGGCTCCCGGTCTCCTCCCGGACAGCTGAGCCTCCGCCGGCTGCGCAAACCCCCCCCCTGGAGGCCCCAGTGCCTGCATATCCCGCTCCGTGGGTCTGAAACCTCTCAACTTTTTCACCCTGGCCGGGCATCTAGCTCTGCGCCGCCTACAGCCAGGGGCTACTACTGCGGTGGGGCTAGCGGTCCGGGCAAGACTCGCGCAGGCCTAGGCCCGACGCGCGCGCAGACACTTGCGCAGGCCCAGACCCGCGCGGCGGCCCTGCATCGCTTAACTGAGGCTCTAGCAAAGCCCAGCCGTCGGCGCGGCCCCGAGGCCGAGCGCGCGTCTCCGTGGCTCCTGGAGCGCTCACTTGGGTGTGTATTTTGCTCACCTTGGTTTTTATTTAACCCCGTCCCCAGGTTTTGAGAGATTTCTCTCCCCGAGCTAGTTGAGTGTGGCCGTCACAACAGGAGTGGCTCTAGGCCTACAGTGTGCGAGCTCCCCGGGTGCTGGACGGAAAAGGTGGGTGCGCGGAGTTGCCTCCCCTCAGAGTCGCGATCCGAGCCCGGAGGAAGGGGCACCTCCCGGCAACTGTGGGTCCGGGCCAGCCTTCTCCTTCGGAATGAAGTTCAGGCCCCACCATTTCGCACAGGACCGCCTCCCCGAGGGGACCCACGCGCCCGCCGCTCCTGCGGCCTCTTTCCATCGGGCCTCCAGGAGGCCTCCCGGCCGCTGCCGCCCGTCCCTCGCGCCGGGCTCCAGGGGCGGCCGCGCCTCGGCGCCCGGGCCAGTGCGCGGACAATGACCCCTTCTCCCCTCTCTGCCTCCTTCTCCAGACACCGCCCCTTCTTTGCCCGCAGGCAAACCTATTAGCCATTCAGGCCGACAAAACCCCGCGGCCCCGCGCATTGTCCCGCCGAGCGCCCGGCCACTGTCATTAGCCCTGATTACGCTGAGCCGCCTGACAGCCCCGCGGGCCGCCCGGCAGACCCCCCATTCACCGCCGCCCCCCGGCCCCGCCTCACAATGGGAGCGGAAATCGTCCGCGCTCCCGCGTCCCCGCTGAATAGAGCGAAAAGCTGCTTCTCTCCTCCTCCCGCCCCATTCACATTCTCTTTGGATACAATATTTTTTTCCTTTTTGTTAAAATTAGGGAGAGAGAACGAGGTCAAGGAAGACTTAGCCTGAGCTCTTTGCCTGTCATTTGTTTAATGTAAACAAAGAGCAAGTCCTCCCCCACCCAAGCCTCTCCTCCCCACCCTCTCAGATTTTTATAAACAAACTGGTGAAGGGGAAGAGGGGGTGGGCAGCGGCGGGTGGAAGCCGAGTGGGTCATTAAGTGGAGGCGACAGGAACTGCGGCATTTGGGGAGCAGGGCCATCGGTTTTCTTTCTCTTTCTTTTCTTTTTTCTTTCTTTCTTTCTTTCTTTCTTTCTTTCTTTCTTTCTTTCTTTCTTTCTTCCTTCCTTCCTTCCTTCCTTCCTTCCTTCCTTTCTTTCTTTTTTTTTTTTGTGGAACTGAAGGATGATTGGAATAGTTACAAGCGGTAAAAGAATCTGAGCGGAGACTCGGGGTAAAATCCTGACATTGGTCAGGTCTCTTGAAATGTAAAAATGCTTAAAATGCTTACTTCTACTCTGCCGGCCGGAGTAACTGCTTTTGGGGCAACTGTGATAAAAGAATTTCAGAAGAAAGGAAACTCATCATATGGAGATATCTCTAAATTCAGAACGTTAAGCGTTTCTACATTTTATTGATTAAAAGAACCCTGTCTAGAACAAGATGAAACTGATATTGGGGGTAGGGGGCTTAAAAAGAAATCTTTTATAATAATGTTCATGGGAAAATTTGGACCTTTAAATAAAAGAAATCTCAAATAAAAGAAATATCTGTGAAGATCTGGACTAATTTCCAGTATGTGGTCGCCAAATAATTGATTATTCACAAAGGCAGTTAGGTGTCACTAGATTTCACATAAACTTGTGTGTGTGTGTGTGTGTGTGTGTGCGCGCGCGCGCGCGTGCGCGCGCGCGCGCGCGCCCTGGGGATTGAACCTAGGGCCTTGTGCATGTGAGGTGAGCACTCTACCAACTGAGCTATATCCCCAGCCCCAGATAAATACTTTTTAAAAGAATCTTTAAAAATGCATTAACTACTTAAGATTCTAAAGTGAAATTAGAGGAACAAATCTCCAGATTATTGAAACATTATAGCCACTTTATAATGTAATCCTTAGGGAGCATGTTAATTTAAGTAAATGATAGATGTAGTTTAAAGGCTTTCACTAAAGCAAAATGTTGAAAACAACAACAACAAACAAAAAACCAACTTCCACCACTGTTTGGCCTTCTTGCTTTCTCCAAACAAGTGTCATTTAAAAATTCTTTTCAAGAGAAAGCTTAGTTCCTAGAAGTGCTACCTGTTTCCTTTAAAATGCAGAATGGGCATTTCTTTCTGCTTCTAGACATCATTTGAACTGATAAGTGGGTTGGAATCTTTAGAATATCATTTTTTTACATTATTCCACTCGTTAATTCTTTCCTTTTCCTTTTGGACCTGGAATCATCAAGTTAAGAGAGAAAGTTTGCCAAATAAAGCCCTCCAAATGCTGGTTCTGGGCAACTCCATAGCTAGGATGGGGTGGAGCTGGGGCACAAGACTGGAAATCACTGGATTTTTCATAGAAGTGCAATACTACTTGGTAGATTCAGGACTATGGTGAGGCAATACAGGCATTTAGAGTGTAAATTTTACAGAGACCTTCAGATTTCTGGCACTTACATGACCTTGAAAATGAGTGGCTCCTTAAAATTTGCATTCTAGGTGCCTCCCTGTAGCCCTGTCCTGCTCCTGGGCATTTGAGGAACTAGTGGAACTACTATGTGCTCTAGGAAACAAACTGCAGTCTGGAAAGAGCTCTATCATCTTAGCCATTCAGGACCTACAGGAAGGCATTTGCTTGCTTTTGGGAAGAACACCAATTTGCTCACAAAGGGTTTCTCAATGCTTCAGTCTAGGGCTCTTGTGCAAGAAAGAGTTTTGATTTTTAAAAATTCTCCAAAAGGGGCCACTGTGTACAATGACAGTCATTTATAAAGTTCAGATGAGCCAAATCTGTTTAAGTAATTTAGAAATCAAAAATCAACCCTTCCTGGGCTTTCAAAGTATATCTTGCCATTTGACTGCTTTTTGTTTTCCATTACTTCAGTTATTTTGGTTGGTTTGCAGATCAACATATCTGCCTAAATCATCCACTAGTTAGCAGGCTTCTGACCCAAAGAACATCTAAGGACAGAGAGGTAAATTGAAAGGACTCTAAGGGGGTGGGGAGAGAAGTCCAGCTCAAGTGATTTAAAGATCAGTGTCAAATTTTATAATATGCAATCTGTTTCATTAGGTAAAAAGCTTAGGAGACTCTTTGGATAGCATTTCCTTTCTTAGTGTCAGGATAGTAGTACGTGTGTGTGTGTGTATGCAGAAGGAAAAATTAATGCTAGGAATATTTTATATTTTTAATTGAGGCTATTACTAGGAGAGTGAGGCTCTTGATCACTGATTCTAAAATGTGGAATCAGACTTTTAAAAGGTTTACCATTTTTCTGCAGCCTTGTCTTACCCTCAATTTGTGACACAATTCTATACTACCCTCCATCTTGGTATCTGTCTAGTTGAAAATCATTCGTTAGATTAAAACTAAGTTCTGCAGCAAAAAAAAAAAAATGCTCCTATCTTCTTTATTTTTTGGTCTTAGTTTAATAAAAGCTCAATTCTAAACGGAGTATATGCTCACTTCGCATGATCATGAGTGCTCACTACTTGAGAGGAGCTTCAAAGGAGATGGAAAGCCTTTTTGTTACCGAATATGTGGCAGGATGGTTTTGCTTTTTTATAAAATTGGATCTATTAGTAGAGCCCAGTCTGGTTTCCCAAACTGTTCCTGCTTCATAAAAATTAATGTTGGTGGACAAACCCTAATTACCTGACCTGGGGATGTGGGGGATTGCCTTATAGGGCATACTCATGTTGCCAGTTTCTAGGTTTAAATATATCACAGTGTGTTTATATGTATGTACACCGCATACTTACATACATACATACATATTACAACTTGGCTTGGCAGATGGTTATGGACCTACCATTAGTTGTTTTAGAAATACACTGGGAGACCCCAGAGATGGCCTAAGATACAGAGAAAATCCTGATGAGACTATTTGCAGCAGAGTCCATCCCTGCATGCCTGGTAAAGGAAATAAGAATGATCTTTAAAAAAAAAAAAATCTGAGCAGCTCCCTTAATTAAGAAAGGTTGTCCACCAAGTTGTTTTATTGTTTGGCTTCTCCACACAGAATGCACCAGCTTGCGTTTAGAAACAGCAAGTTCCCCAAGCTACAGAGAAACCTACCATGGCAGTCTCTTAAATAAGTAAACAGCATATATATGTTTTGTTAAAAAAAAACTTTAAAGCAAAAGTTATACATATATAACAGCGTCCTTTCGACGTGAAATACCCACAAGAGACTCAGGGCAGGCGCTCAGCGTGTAGTTCGGGTTCCGAAGACTTCTTCGCAGCAAAATCCTTGGGAAAAAGCAAAGCGAGGACAACGGGGCGCTGCCGTCAGGCCTCACCGCGGGCGCCTGTGATAGCGGCGGAAGGGCGCCACTGGAGTTGGGCGGACCGTGGAGCCGACACTGAAACCCAAGCCCGCGGGTCCCTGGCCACCTGGCTTCCGTCGGTGGTGTATTTGTTGGTCTTTCATCCTCTTTTCCGCTTCATTGTTTATCTCGTTTTTACACGGGATTCTGTTTCTGAGCGTGCTGGTTGGGCAGCTTAGATGTCGCATTCACTGTCGCTGGATGTGATGGAGATAGCCGAAGTGGCCGCCTTGCTGGATAGACTAGCGGCCGGACTGGTGGAGACACCCAACACCTCCGGGGTGCCCTCGCCCTCGGCCCGTAGAGCCCGCCCGGAGCCTTGCGACAGAACCTGCTGCTGTAGTCTACGGGGAAGGAAGGGGACACGGGTCACACTGCGGAAAGTTGCCGCCGCCCGTCGTCTCCTTTTCCCACCCCCCTCCCCCGGCCCGCATTCCTTCAGCCCCGTGACCAGATGATCTTCCTCAGACCCGGGCAATTAAGGTGGGGAAGGAGAACCGACAGAGGTCAAGCGGGAATCCTCGGCCGCTTCTTGGCAGAGTCCTGCAATTGCCTCCGCCCCCTTCGCTCCCTTTCTCTGCTCCACTTCCCCTGTCTTTGGTCTTTCCTAGTTGTTCCCTACCTTTGGGAGACTTACAGGACTCTAAGGAAATAGCCGAGGTGTGGATGAATAGGACAGAAGGCTTCGGACTTGGGACTCCCTTCCCAGTAGTGCATCTGTCTCGGGCTAACCTCTGACTCAGTACCCGTGAGGCTCTGTCGGCTCCAGCTAAAGGCAAACATTGCTGCCTGAGGGTCGCACGGAGAGTTGGGGCCTGGGGAACGAGGCAGAGCCCTTGGACAAAATGTTTTTTGGACTAATGGAGATCCACACGTTCAGTAACGAGAAGCCTGGGCCAACTAGTTTGTTCTTGAGACTAGTCGCGCATGGGAAGAAGAAAACTCGACTTTGCACTTAGGAATAGGAGTCCTCTCAAAAACCATTTTCAAACCATTAGAGAAGGAGGCACCTGGGCTTTAAAAATGATAACCTGCAGCCGACACGTAATAAGCCAGGCTTTCCTTAATAGTAGGAGCCTGGGCCCCGGCTGACAAGAATTAGATTTAGATCTTGGAGTCTCCCGATCTTTTCTAGAATTTTAATCTTTATTTCTCTCCTGCCGACCCCTCTTCATGAAGCCTTAGTTTGGCGACCGAGGCTAGCTGCTACAGTGACCCTGATACGCCGTGAACGATAGAGAAGTTGAGGAACTAGGTGACCATAGGGAACACGCGCACGACAGCCCAAAGCTCAGTGGGCTCGTAAACCGAGGATAGAATGTGCTCCCAACTCCTGAGATTTGAATCGGACTCTCCAAGTACCAGGTACCGCGCCAAGAATGTCTCCACCCGCCCCCTTCCCTTGCTCACTAAGCGCGGAGGCCGCTAGTTACCGACCTGTTCTTGGCTGCAGCCGCCCGGTCCCTTTGTCGGCGGTTTTTGAACCAGTTGCCCACCTGCGTGGGGGTCAGTCCGGTTGCCTGGGCGAGCTCGCGCTTTTTGCTGGGGTTGGGATATGGGTCCTGCAGATACCACTCTCGGAGCAGGTGCCGCGTGCGCTCCTTGAAGCAATGTGTCTTCTGTTCGCCATCCCAAATGGTACGCGGCAGCGGGAACTTCTTCCTTACGCGATACTTGTCCACTGGCCCCAGCGGCCGTCCACGCAGCTTCTCCGCCTCCTGGTAGTGCGCTTCAAGCCATAGTGCCTGCAGCTTAGCGTGTGACTCCTTGGTGAACTTGTGGTTTTCCAGGATATGGTAAAGCTCGCGGTAGTTGCCACCGTGAAAGGCCACGATGGCTCTCGCGCGCAGCACCGACTCGTTCTTGTTGAGGGCTTCACAGGCCGCAGGGGCCACGGGCAGCGACCACAGGAAGCGACCCAAGCGCTCTACATCGCCGCTCTCCTCCAGCGTCTCACATACCCCGGCCACTTGCTGGGGGCTGAAATTCAAGATGGGTAGCTGAAACATTGAGGCAGCGCCGGCAGCTGTAGGGACACTGAGCCCGGGGCGGGACACACAGCAGATGCCCGCGGGCCAGGGCGGGTGCGCCAGGCTCTTCTCCGCGAGGCGCCTTGGGGTTACACCGCTGGGGCTGCAGTGGCGGCACAACGGCCAGGAGCTAACGTCCCCGACTGGAGGAGGTTCGGCTCGGCTTGGCTCAGGCACGCAGGCAGGCTAGCTGGCGCGACTACTGGGGTGGGCGGATTGGCGGCGCGGGCGCCATGGAGACCCCCTGTCAGTCACTGGTCGGCTCTGCCAATCAAGGCTCCGACCAGTGCGCCCTGGCCATTTCAGCACCTCCCAGCACTCGACAGCGCCCGCTGTTCGCCGGTGGACTTTTCCTCAGTATTTCACTGAACCCAGAGGATGAAAAGACGTAATGAGTGGCTGGAAAGAAAACAAGTAAGAGCGACAGCGTTTCGCTCTCCCCCTCTCCTCCTGCCTGGGCCCTCCCTCTTTTTTCCCCATCAAAGAGGCAGGGATGCTACAGGAATTCACTTTGGGGTTATGCGATGCCTCGTCAAAAGGTCTCCAGAGGACAAAGAGGACTGGGCAAAATCGAAATCCTCCAAGAATTCTCAAGTTTAGTTGTAATAACGGAACAGTAAACGCTACGGGGTGAGCACGCACAATGGGGAGAGGGAGGCAAAGCGGATCTTCTCATTTCTTCCAAGTACCCATCCCTACAAGCCTGCCACTTCTCCTTTTCCAGCTGTCAAAGCAGCTGGGCGGGAAGCAAATCTGCAGCAGAGGAAACAGGACCAGGGATCTATAGAAGAGGTCAGTTTGGACTCTATCCCCACTCCCTTCAAAAGTCTCCTGAAATAATTTTAAATGTGAGCAAAGACACGCCCACACTTGATAACAGTTGCTGGCCATAAAGTAAAAACATTTCAAGCTTTAGAGAACTCTCACCCAAATAAAGATTATGCTCTTTAGACTCCCCCTCTCCAGTTTAACGGACTTGAACAAATGTGCAGCGTAGCCACATTTAGAGTGAGAAGTCATTGGTAGGTCAGAACAGCAACTTAAAGGCTTGTTTGAAACACATTTTTTAAAATATTGATTTGCACCTCTTCTTGAAGGTTAATTTCTGTGCTAGAACATATAATTGGAACTGGAGACAGAAATCTTGACTTTATAGCCCAAAAGCAATTCAGTAAAAACAGAGCAGGGGGGGATCCTCAATTGTGTGTGTGTGTGTGTGTGTGTGTGCGCGCGCGCGCGCGCGCGCGCTTGCGTAAAGCGAGGAGGGGGCTAGAAAGCACTTCCTAAGCCGCTGGGCCCTGACCCCTCCTGCAGAGAGGAAGGGCTTTCTAGGCGGCTTTGCCTTCTGGCCAGTAGATTGAATTGGCAACTTTTATTGATTCCCAATTGACATCTACATCATACCGTTTTCTGAGGCCTGGGTCAAAGAAACCACGATCTCATCTGGGCCTTTGATGGGGGTTTGTTTAGTTTGATGAAAATACTCGGTAGAGGGTGTGTCCAAGGAAAACACCAGGAAAGTCTTTGGGAGGCCGGTCTTTAGAAAGGGATCAAATGGAAAGTTCACCATCGAACTGGACTGGGCCTGGCTGTCTTTTCTTCAGTATCAAGTACAATTTGTATGTGGCTTGTACAGATCTGGTAAATCAGAAGGCAGATAGATAGCACAGATGGTTGGAGGTGTCAGGTCAGATCATGCTACGCCTGAGTGCAGGGCAAAGCTCGTTCTGACGGAAAACCCTGATATTATTTTCACAGATCTTCACAGTTCACTCGAAAAAAAATAGCAGAGGGGAAGGAAAAAGCCCTGCAACCATTAACATCATTTCTGTGAGATTGCCAGCCGCCTCAACGGAGAGGCTTTCTTTTCTAAGAGCTCATTTTCTTGAAATGTGACAGGGCAGGGGCAAAATAAAGAGGGCGATGAGGATAATGACAAAGCATAAACCTTCTCTAGCTTGGAGCGACTTCCGAATCAGCCGGAAGGACAACTTTTAGGGGAGAGTCGTCGCATACAGCGGCCCAGAACACGTAGGCAGAGGAGAATTCGCAGCTCTAAAAGCCTGGCGGGCCTTTCTGGGCCGTGGGGGTGAAGAGAAGCATCCCCTTGTTCCATTTTGCAGAGGTTTCTTTATTCTCTCTGGGGTTGGCTCCCTTGCCGGCTCTCGCACGGTGGCAGAATAGCATCACGCTTGCCCTTCCCTTGAAGAGGCCACAATCACACCGCGACCTTAGCTCGCAAACCCAGAGCGAACTCCAATCCCAGTGCCTAGCTGCTGGAGATGAAAGAGGTTGTCCTCATCGTCGCAGGCGACCATTTTCCCCCCTCGTCCCTTTGCTGCACATGACCAGTTTGAATGCGGCAGATTAGGGGAGAATTGACTTTTTAGCCTTAGCCTTTGTGAGCAAGTCATTTAAATTTTCCTAGCCTAGGCACCCCATCTGAGAAATGGGAGTATTTATCCTACAGCCCACTTCTTGAATCAATAGTTCTATAAATATTAGAAAAGAGGAGCGCTTTGACTTCTGCGTGTTCAAGGCTCTGGGACCCAGGGTCTAGATTGGCCGAAGCCAGAGCCACCAGAAGGGGTTTGCTGCATGCGACATTGAAGTGCCTGGAGTCTACTATCACCAGATCCTATCGTCACCCTTGTAAGGGATTTCATTTAATTTTATTACCTCTAAGGAAATTAACTTTCCCGGGACACCTAGAAATTAGTTATTTTTTCCCTCTAGCTTCACGCAGCGACAAACAGGAAGAAATAGCGGGGGATCCCTCATCCCTGGAAGAAAGAGCAGCTTTCCTGGGTTCCTTAGAAATAACCCTGTTGTGAAAAAGACAGTGACCTTCAACCCATCCTTAAAGCTCACTTCTTCAGGACTTGCCAGGAGAATAGTGCACCTTCAGGTCCTCCCCATTACACCCCGCCGCCCCGTTTAATTTTATGGAAAGATAGAGTTTAAAAAAAAAAAAAGGAGAAGAAGAAGAAATTGTTGGGCTCTGTGCCAACCCTCAGGCAACCCTCCACTCCTCACCCTACGTTTCTTCACTCCTCCCCCACCCCCTCGCCCCCGCACTTGGACAGGAAATCCAGAAAGGGCGACGACAGCCCTTGGCCTCAGGCCTGTCTGGGTGGCTTTGCAACTTTCTACAGATCGTTTGCAGCTAGGAGATAATGTGAAGATTTGGGCAAATTCTCAGTTTTCACCGGATATATTTTCTACTCTCCAAAGTCAGGGTTTTATTTTATAGGGGGAAAATGTGGGCATAGAAGCAAGTAAAAGAGAATGCCTATAGTTACATTCTGTGATTAACTGTTCAGTGGGTACTTGGTCTTAAGCAGAGTGACCCCCGGAAGTTGTGAGGCTCATTCCAGAAATCTTTGGAGTTTACTGACTCATGTCTATGCATACTGGGATCTCACCCTATTTCTGTCGCTACTGATCGTCCTCTGCAGAGGAACCCTGTTCATACCTTTCTGAACTATGTAGCTCCTATTTGTCAGAGGACAGCAGTGCCTTTTAGAAGTCAATACATTCTTACCTCTGGGTTCCAATTTTGTATTATTTCCTAAGTTAAGTGCCTTCAAAATAATGAGGTTTTTTGTTTTGTTTTGTTTGAATAGTCAGGGAATTTAATAATGTAGTAATTGAATCCATCTGAATTTCTTGATGAAGACATTTTACTGTATCTGAAAGTCACAGACTGGAAGACAATGAGGTCCCAGTCTTTTGCATGTCTGTTCAGACTTTTGGAAAACATCTTGTTTTCCCTTTCCTGTGCCTAAAATCCAGATGTTGATGGTGAGAACTAATTTTTTTAGAACTCTAATTTAAAAATTATTATTTAAAATATTTTATAGCAAGATAATGTAGAAAAATATAAAAGGTATTTATAGACTTTGAAAGGACTATATTAAGATTTCACACTCTCATTTATTCATTAATGTACTATTCTTATTTTCAAATGATATGATCTGCATATAGATATATGTTCAAAACATTTATATATTTGGTAGTCCACATTTAAAGAATATGGAATAAATTCATTATCCTATTTTTAAAGTATTAACTATTTTAATAAATTCCCAAGGTAGGTTGCTGTATTTCATGAACTTCTCCCATGCCACCTTGTAACAAAGAATAAAGATAACTTTCCATTGCATTCTCCTGAGAACAAACACCATTTAAAAAATATTTTGTCGATTTCCTGTCACAGTAAAATTAACCAGCAAAAAACACATTACAATGAAAATATTCATCTAATTTTAAGAAATTAAGATTTTTTTATTATTCACCAGCAGTTTTTAGATAACATTTTAAAATGATGCAAATTTGCTTATGTTGCTAAGTGGAGGACATTTTTATAACTTTAAATGTGGAAATGCACTATTTAAAAGTAGTGATTAATTAGTAGTAATTTTAAAATTTAGGCTGCCTCTACAATCCTGTTTTGACTTCTAGCTTATGGCAAATCCAAGACATTTGGATGAGAATTTCCTTTTAAGACAAGAATATATACAAGGTATAATTCTTATTCTTATTTTTCTTTTGGTACTGGGGATTGAACTCTAGCCCTCTTTCCACCTTACCACACTTCCAGCTCTTTTTAGTTTTTTGAGACAAGGTCTCACTAAATTGCTGAGGCTGGTCTCAGATTTATAATCCTCCTGACTCAGCCTCCTAGTCTTTGAGATTAAGTTATAACTTCTAAAATATAAGCTGTGCTTTTGAATTCAGTGTTTTCTCCCCTGCTTCTCTAAAATAAGACTAAATATACACAGGGCTAACCATACCACAGCATTGCTTTCTTAGAGCTATGAATCAATTGGGTTCTTGTCTGAGGGAGTAATGCTTAGAAATGTAACCAGCCTATCACTTCTGAACATGTTATTATCAGTAATGAACCATTAATTGAATGACTAAAAAAATGATTAATTCATAGTTCTCTACTGGAACATTATTTTTTCTACAAGCAGGTTATTTTTTACCATTTTCAAATCCAAGGTCAAAGTATCTTTCTAAAATACACATAGAAA